GTGTGTGTGTGTGTGTTGGAAAGCACCAGGAAAGCTGACCAAGGTGCCATGCTCCAGGCGGTCTCGTGTCTCCCTACAGAGCCCCAACCTCTCCTTGCTTTCTCCTCGAAATCTAGAACCAGGGCCCCCCTCAGTCTCCTGGGCTCCACCCCACACTCCCCTACCACCAACCTAGGGGAGCCCAAATGCCAAAAAATGAAACACACATGTTTGCTATGAAATTCCTGGAGGACGGAATGTTTTCCAGTGAGCAATATCTTCATAAAAACACACAGGCTGACTCCACAGCTGTTGTAAAAACTTATCTGCAACATCGAGTGTGTCTCCCGCCGTGACTTATCTGATTTGGAAGCAGATTCTTCATGAGGCAGCAGGAGTCTTGGGCGGGGCTGAGCATACCAACAAACAAACTTGTTAAAAAGTTACAAAAGTGATGGTATGCCTCTTAACTCTGCCCTTCTCCCCAAAGGTTCTCAGACCACACAGCTCCCACTCCTGTGCAGGGATTACTGGGGGTGCCATCTTAACCCAGAAAATAAGCCAGGGGCTAGGGAAGGGACACAGCTGTTCACTTCCCACTGTCTTGAACGGTAACTGTACCATCTCACCTAGGAAGTGCCCAACTGCCTTGGAGGTTGCCTGAGAAGCTGGGGGTGTCAGTGGGAGAATCCTATTTTTGAATTGCAGGAACTGTCCGTTTCTAAGGTCACATTTGGAACCGAGAGGAATTTTGCATGCAGAGTTTCCTCCTTACCCAAAGAAGCGGCCGGCAGTCTGCCTGGCAGATGGAGCAATTGGCTTGAGGTCAGTCGGCCTGCCCTGAACTGCGTGTCCCGCGCCTCACCATTTCTCAGCTAGAACATGTGTGAGGAGGCTGGGCCCGGGGCCACTAGGCTTCTCATTACAAAGAAGAAATAAAAAAGCAAAGTCTGGATTTGGACAGGAAAGAGCGAAATGCAAACTACAAAATTTCTTTCGACTGTGCGTGTGTGTGTGTGTGTGTGTGTGTGTGTGTGTGGTCAGTGTCTGACCTCACAAACCTCTTCAAAGTTTGACTGCCTCTCACGTGGCCTCAACCCCAAAGGCTAATACTGCCAGGGTTGATAACCATTCTTATTTGAGCGCCTTTTTAAAAAGGAATTAGCTGGGAAACCACCTGTTTCTATAGGATACATACAAAGGGTTACTTTTAAAGGTAAGGTGTTTTTGAGTTACTGAAGCCTAACTTAAAACAAAGCGTTTTGTTTTTTAAATGTAGACGAGATGGGGCGCCTAGGTGGCTCAGTCAGTTAAGCCTCTGACTCGATTTCGACTCAGGTCCTGATATCAGGGGCATGAGATCGAGCCCCGTGTTAGGCTCACATGCTGGGTGTGGAGCCTGCTTAAGATTCTCTCTCTCCCACTCTCTCTGCCCCTGCGTCCCTCTTTAAAAAAATGTAGACAAGAATTTGCTTCTTTTGAATAATAAATTTAAAAAGTTAGCCATACACTTCCCAAATGGGCAGGGGTATGTCATCACATAGCAGTAAAAGCTGAACCTCACACCAAATTGAGGAAGACCAAAAAAAGGCTAGTGGAACCCAAATTTGTAACTACTCTCCCAGTCACAAAGAAATGAAATTAGGGCAAGTTCAAGGGTGAAGAGTGTAATTAAAGTATCTAGGTGATTGTACAAAACCCCTAAAAGACCCAGTGATTTCTGGGGTGGAAATTCCCAAAAGCCTCCATCGTGACTCACTATAATTTGCTGCCCTCAAAGCCTGCACTGGTTTTGGCAGACATCAGGGCCCTAGAGCTCCAGGCCAGTGGTAGTGGTATCGGGAAACTTCCATTGGGAGAAAATGGGGGTGAGGGATGGGTGGTGGCAAAATTGCCTTATAAGGAAACTGTAAATCCTGGGAAGGCCTGGTGTTTCATCAAACTAGAAAAATGTTGAAGGGACGATTCAAGAGCTCCATGCCCCTCCCACCCAGAGTTCAGGGAAAGAGGAGAGTGAGAGATGCGTGTCCCTAAGAGAACATTCTTCTCTTTCCATCTACCTAAAGGCTCCGCAGCGATGTCTTCACCAAGCTCTGGAAAACAGAAGGCGCCCAGCTCACAAAGGTCAGACCTTGACATGAATGCACGGTGGAGCCTGTCAGAGCCTCCTGGGGGTGGCCACTCCCCGGGAATCTCAAATTCCCCACTTTACAGGTGATGATGGGGGCTCCCCTGAGAGATCGCAGTAACTTAAGGACTCCCGCCGCCAGGTTAACGCTGGTTTGCCTCCTAGGTGATGGGGGAGAGACCTGGAGCTCCCATCTTCCACCTGGCCATTCTGAGCTGGGGCTCCACCACAGAAAGAATGGGCGTTGCCTGGGATTCTCCTAGACATGCACATTTGGGCTCAGAGCTGGGCTGTCTGGGATGTGCTTCCTGGCACATAATTACCACAATCAAGATTATTATTAGCATTAGGCATTTACATGACACTTAATATTTTCAAAGCATTGTACTGCAGTTTAATTAGTTTTTCCTTGCAACATTCCTGTCGAGTCCACACTTGATAGCTGGGAGACTGACAGGGGGAAGAGAGAAATGCTAAAGTTTGATGAAGAATAGGGGGTGCTGCATAGTCGCTTGGCTTTTATTCTCTCTGGTGACCCAGCCAAGATCACCACCCCCTGCTCCCTGCAAATTCTGCACCCCCACTCCCCAGGGCCCCACTAACAAGGTACCTGGAGCCCCCAGGAGTGTGGTGGGGATGGAATCTCTTATATTTCCACTCAAGGTCCGGACACCTTTCCAAAAAAAAAAAAAAGCCTGTGTCAAGTTCAAGTTCACTCTTATTCAAAACTGCTGACACCCTTAGTCTCATTACAAACCTCTCCATTAAAGTAACTATAAAATCCCAAGGTGGTGAGTCCCAAACCTAAGGCAGCTCTGATAGGAAGCCTTTTAGTATTTGACAAATCCTAATTCTAATTCGGTCTGTGAAAACGGAGGAGTGGTGCAAGCTAGCAAAGTCTGCATCTTGTTGGCATGGAGGCTTCTTTCCTGGCCCTGAGAGCCCCAGGGCTTATTGTCTACTTCCGAGAAAATAAGACCTTTTTTTGGTACAAGTCCTCTGTTTCTGCTCCCTCGGTTAAAGGTGAAAGCTCAGGGGAGGTGAAAGCGGCTGGGGGGGGGCGGGGTGCAGCCAAGGCCAAGTGAGGAGGGAGGACTGAAATCTCTGGCGGTTAGCTGTGGTTCCCACCACCCTGGGGATAACGCTAGCCCCTCTCCGCACACCTGTGCTTTCTTAAACCGAGACAGGCACCTCCATTCTCTAGCCCGGAAAGTCCTTCCGCCAGGCTAGGGGTGGGGGTGCCGCTGCTGGCTTCTGGGGGGCCAGTGATGTTTCCAGAAGTTGGCCAGCCGGTGACCTGGGGTCAAGATTGGGATGGAGAGATTTATGTCTCCCGGCAATGCTGCTCCTAGGTCCCCTCCTTCCCTCCCTACCCCCACTCCCATCCCGGTCAAAGGTGCTCCACACGACTTAGCGTTGACCCATGGACGGACTGCCAGGACCTGGGAGTGAAGCGATCTGGAGGGGTGACCGCCCCAGCATGGTTGGGAAGCCCTGGGTCCTCGAGGTTTTGCCACGGGCCTCAACTGTCCCTGGGGTCCCTCTCTTATCCTTGCCAAGACAGTGAAAGCGCGAGTCTGGGGAAGCTCAGAGACTTGTCATCTTTGTGGGACCAGAGTTCCATGCACATCCCAATCAGGTCCTCGCCGGCTGCCCAGGAGCAAGTCTGAAAAAGTCTGGGCTTTGGCGACCCCCTAGCAGACACCTAGACCAGCCACTGAGCCTGGAAGCCGGCTCCTGGTGGCAGGAGCTGGGGCCTGAGGGCCTGGCCAGACCAGCATTTCTGTCCCCGTTGCCCGGTGCAGACAACCAAGGCCAAGTCAATGCTCCGCGCTTTCTGCGCTCCCTGCGCTTGGGAGCCCCTAGAAGAACACGGACAATACCGGCCAGGAGAGGCTGAGGCCTCCGCCCTGCTCTTGGGCAGGGCCCTTCAGTGCGATGGAAGCCGAGGTCATCTCCCCGCAGCGGGCCGAGGCTTTGGGATTCCAGTTCTCGGTCCAGGACTGGGGCCGGCGTGCAAGGCATGGGCTGGCGGCTCACCGGACGGACCCCGCAGCCAAACCCGCGGGGCTGGCCAGAACGCGGCTGACTTCAGGGCTTGGGATCCCTGAGACCTTGCGTCTGTGCGAGGGACATTAGAATCCCTGTCCTCCTTGGGGCCTGGGGGGCAACTTCGAGAAGCCCCTGAGCCGACTGGTCCCCACCTCTCCTCTAGAGCTGGGGACAGATTAGGTGCTCCATTTCCGGCTTGCTAGGGACATGCCCTTGGGGATTCCAGGAAGGGATCTTTCTTGGGATAGTCGTAAACTATCTGTGGGATAGTTTACGACTATCTGTGCCTCAGTTTCCTCCTTTGTAAGCTGGAGACGGTGATATTACATACCCCAATAGATTACAGTAAAGATTGAATGAGCTAACCCAGATGGAGAGCTGAGAGCCATGCCCAGAGCAAGCACCTGATAAATACTGGTTATCTACTCTATCTTCTTTCCCTTGCCTTTCGGAGGAAGGGCTCGCTTGCTCTCTCCCTCCCTTTTCCCTCTCTCTATCCCTAACTTTTCCCCTCTCCCTCCCTTTCCCCATCTCTCTCCCCTAGTCTCTTTCTCTCTTCCCTACCACTCTCCCCTTTGTAGACCAGCAAGGTCTGAGTGAAATGTGAGAAATGTTTAAAATAAATCCGATCGTTTTCCTATGTGAGTCCCCCCACTGAAGTTGGTCAGAGCAGCGCAAATTGTAGCTGGCATTAGTGGGCTCCAGCCCCGGCCACTTTGCAGTTGGCTCTGGAAGGTTCCCACCTCTTGGTCAGCTCCTGGGAACGCATTCGCTTCCGGGGCGGGGGTGCGGGGAGGGGGGGGGTCTTGATCTTGATTCCTGAAGTCAGGGTTCCAGTGGCGGGCCTGGGAGAGTCCAGAGGAGCGTCAGGATAGATACAGAGTCCCTGCTGTTTCCCTGTCCGGGCCCACGACAGCGTCCACGCACCCACCCCGCTCAGCCCACAGCTTCCACGCCGAGATCGCCACAGGCCCCAGTGTGCCGACTGTGCTAGGCCCAGGCCTGCAGCTCCTGATTTCCCAGGCTGAACTGGTTTCGTGGGGAGGCCGTTGATGGCAGGACCTCTACACGGACGCCAGAAGGCATGAAGTTCAGAATTCCAGGAGTCAAGGCTGAGGGGCTGGGAAAGCGCCACCACAAGCTGTGTGAGTCCTGCGGCGCCAGGAACCAGAATCGCCAACCCCCTAGCCACCGGTGGGGCTGGAACTCCGGAGAGCCGGTGAAAAATCCTGAGCCACACAGACTATCGGGACGTCAGGGCCAGGCCACCAACTAAGCCTTCAGGCCTCGGTTTGCATTCAGGCTGCCGGTCACAGGACAAATGATCAGACCTCCCGACCTCGATTTTTCTATCTCTAAATAGGAACACTAACCCCAAGCCTGAATTCCACTTGTGCGCGGGTTGTCAAGACGCTGAAATTCACCACCTCTGAGGAGGAGCAGGCGCTCCCAGAACGATTCCTGGACTCACAGACGGAAAGACCAGAAACGTCCTCTCCATTCGGAAAGCAAAGGGTCCAGGGTTCAAAGTGGCAGCTCCTCTGATTGTCGCCAGGGGAGTTTCTTATTCCCAGGGGAAGGGATGCGGGGCCTCCGCCCAGCTGCGTAGCTGCTTCGGGAGCCGAAGACAAGGTTAGCCGGCCCGTCTGCTGCTCCGTCAGGCGCGGACCGGTTGGGGCTGCCCAACCCACCTCACTTGGCCCGGCTGCCCCACGCTGGGGGCCAGGCCTTGCGGAAAGGACCGAGCGCACGGACCCCGCGCTTTCCTCCAGCTGCGCAAACGTGAACTCCAAGCGGAAGTTATGCGCGATCTCCCGGTAACTCGAGCAAAAAAGATTGCCACCTGCCCCGCTCCGGTTTCCGCGCTTTTTTAATTTCATGGAGAGTTCAAGGGGAAGTGGTTTGAGGTTTGAGCTATCCGACATTGGTCTTAATGCTTGCCTTTTCGGGTCTCTGGACACTGACCGTGAGGGAGCCTCTGATTAGGGGCCAGTCCACTCCCGGGGGTGGAGGTGGACTCAGGGTGTGCGTGGCCTCAGCTTTGTTTCTGGCCTCGGTTCTTCTTCGGTCCTCTCTTTAACACTGACCCAAATCTGGGGCCTTGGTCTTCTCGCCTAAGCCTTCCACATTAGCATCCATTATGTTCTCACTGGCCCCATGACAGGGGTCCTCCTCACGGATCCTCCTCATGGGTCCTCCCCAGCGTGTTCACACTGCAAAGTGAACAAAGTTTTCTTGTTTTGTTGATTCTTTTTTAAAAAAGATTTTAATAAATGGGCACTTACCAAGATAATTCCGGCCGAGAAACATCCTCACCCACATCCAATGAAATCCTTGGACAACGGCGAAAACAGTGATATAAACAAAGCAGCTATACATTAAATACGTATAAGAGATTAGGCTATAAATTGCATATAAAGGTCCAGGATCTATTTAAAGCTAGAAATAGAAAGAAGATAAGACACAGGTGTCTACATTTAGGGCTGAGATTCAATGCTAGATTCAAGGTCAGAGTAGAGAGGGGATCAATCTAATCTAATTCCCTCAGATTAGAAGAAAAAAACAGGCTCAGAGAGAACCAGGGGCCTGCTCAAGGTCACATGGCAGACAGAGGGGGCGAAGGAACCCAGTCCCTGACTCCCAACACAGCACCCATTCCGCTGTGTCTCAGGCATTTTCTGCTTTCCGAATCACAGAGCAAAGAGCCCCTCGTGGGTTTTTTTCTCTCTAGCTTTGACTCTTAGGAGGCGAGGAGATCCCAAGAAAGATCCCTTCCCGGAATCCCGTTGTCTTTCCTCGGTCTGGCGTTGGCTGACAGGAAAGAGGCCAAATTTCTCCCCCTCCGACCCAGGGACTTCAATCACAAACCTCTCCCTTGAGCACCATATAGGTGCAGTTCTCCAAAATCACCGACAGGTGGCGCGTTCCTCACAGGAAAACCGGCCGGGAATTCGCCAGCGCCTCTTCGACCCTGCTCCTAGCCCTAACCGCTGGCCTAGGGTCCCTCCCCCGAGAAAGGGGACAGCAAGGGGCTGTAGCGAGGGGAGCTCAGGCTGGGTGCTGAGTGGTTTGAAAAGAAAATCCCTAGAAACCCTATTCTAGCCTTGCGGCTCAGAGAGGCCTCACGTCCTAAGGAGTGAATGAGCATTGGGTGCAGAGGGCAGGGCTCTGCCCGCTTGGCCAGAGAAAACACGGGGACCCACTAGGGTCACCCCTAGGGGGCGTTATCTTCCCTAAACAAACTCAGGCATGCACCCGCTCATTCATGCACACTCAGCTGCCGCCTTTCTCAGCCACCATCCCCAACTCCTATCCTTCACCTAATTTTTTCTTTTATATTTGGAGGGTGGGGGGAGAATAAAGGGAAGAGGGCGCTTTTTCAATTGCGACGATAATTGTCTGCGAGATGGGTTTCTTAATCTGCTCATCCATTCTTCTCCTCTAATATTTGGCTTTGCCGCTTTGATCACCAGAAGATCACATACTTGACTCCTTTGCATAACAATTTTGGGACGGGCATCCTTGGCGCGGGAGGGGAAGGACGTGCACGGAATGGCTTTGGGATCGGTTTTCTACCACCACGCCCCATTGCCCCCTCCCCCACAGGAAGTGAGGCCAGCCGACCCCCCATCCCTAACAGTACCATTCAAGCCTGGAAAGTTCTGAAGGTAAGTGGGGGCGAAGAGGAAGCTGCTAAACCCTTGGCGGGGAGACCCTAAGGGCCTGGAGTGAGACCCTACCAAAGGAGGGACTGTGTCTTCCCCTTGCGTCCCACTGCATTCCCAACCCCAAGAGATCCCGCCTTAGGTCCCCATCACCCCCCCACCACCACCACCACACACACACATATTGGGGAGAGAGTGAACCCAGAGGTGAATGGAACAGGTTGGCAGCCAGGGAAAGGAGACCACTATCCCTCATCTCATCCCTGTGCTCTCATCTGGGATTTAGACCACGGGACAAAACTCAAACTCCCATGGCTTGGAATTGGGATTGGAGAGCTCTGGGGCAAGTGATGGCCTCTGGGGGACTCTGACCTAGTCTGTTCCCTTCTCTGGGTTCACTTGCAGCATCTGTGGAGTGGGTTTTGGGTCTAGGCGCTCCCTGAGGTCCCTTTGATCTTGACTTTGCCACGTGGTGTCCACCTCTCCCCAGTCAGGGTTTAGGGCTTCCAAGCTGCGGAGGTGGGTCTTGGAGGGGAAGAGAAAACCAGTAGCTGTTTTAATCTACGTTTAAACAACATATGCCTCCTCTGCCTTTGCATCGTTCCAATACAGGGGAGCTGAGGGGAGGGGGGGAGGGTTTAGGGTAGGGAGGAAGGGTGTAGGGTGGGGATGGGAGGCGAGCAGTTGGTTGGGGGTCAGACCCCTCAGGTCCTTGCGACTTAACACGTGGCACTTCCAAACCTTCTGTAAAGGGAGTTGCTCTCTCATTCCCAGCTCGCACAAAAACGCACACACGGAGACTCTATACGCATGGACACCCACAGGCACGTACACCGGTGCAGAGCCCATGCACACACAACACTTGCACACACGAACATAGCGCAAGCACATGAGGATTAACGGGACACAGAAAATGCACACAATCCTTCCATGCACACCCGGACACAGAGGCACACGCACTCACCTGGAGCCTCGCACACACAGAGTCACGTACAAACACGCACGCGCGCGGCGCACACTCGCCCCTCTCCCCTGTTTCTGCAGGAGCAAGAGGACAGGGAAGGTGGCCCGGGAAGGCCTCGGCATTGCAGTGACCCCTCCCCTCCCACCTCACCCGCACGCGATCCAGTCTAGGAAAGAAGGAGGTGGGGGGGGGGACACAAGGTCTTGCCCCTTTCCCTCTCCACTCGGGGCTCTTGAGACTTCCCTTCCCCACCCACTCCCTTTCCGGACTAAACTTTTCCCCTCCCTCACCTCCCCGCCAGCCTCCCGCAGCGCCGACCTCGGCTGGAGCCCGGAGCACATCCTGCATCCTCTCCGGGATGAGGGTCCGGAGGCTGCGTCCCCAAGGACGAAAGGGGGGCGCGGCCTGGCTCGCGCTCCGGGGTCCGCGGGGAGGGAGACGGGAAGGCGCGGGCCAGAAGCCAGAGCCGCGAGAGCTGGGTGCGCAGACTTTGGCTTCCTTTTCCCGGGTCAGTGGGAGAAGATCCCAGGGACACCTCTCACCCCTATGGAAGTCAAGGGAAGGAGAAGGAGAACAGTTTACTCTGGGGCAAGCAGAAAGAACGCGGTCTTCCGAGCTGCAGGGGTATTCCTATGCACAGGACTTGGATGCTGTGGTTTTTCTTCTTTTCTCGTTTTTTTTTTTTTTGTCCCCAACTTTGAGGTTGGGTCCGGACCTCCCGGGGAGCATGGACTGAGCCGAGGGGGCAGCAGAACCCAGAAACCGCACTGGCCCCTCCTCACTCGCTCCCACACTGGTACCCACTGGCGGGCACACGGCCAGTCGGTGTGGACTCCGACCCGCGCCGAACAGGATCGAGGTGGGAGCCGCCACTTGGACAGGTGGGGACTGGGGTGGGCCAGGGGCCCCCTCGGCCTGAGGGTGCCTGGGCTTAAGGGAACCTCCTAGGGAGGGGGAGGGGTGGGAGGACGAAAAGCAAAATAAAGGAGAGAAGAAAATTCTAGCGCAGACTCTGAATTTACTCTGGGTTTTATTATTTTTGTGGGGGAGGAAAAACCATTAGCGTTTCAGTTTTGGCATTTGGGTGGAATTGGGTGTAAGGAGAAAAGCAGGATGTCTGATTAAAGTGAAGAAAAAAATATAGTGAGAGTGTGTGTGGTTGCCTTGCTTTTGGGAGCCGTGAGCTCTAAAATCTTCGGCTCTAGGGGCCTGGCTAGCTGTGTGGTACAGCTCCAGAGTGGTTTGGGGATACAGAGGAGAAGGGGAAGACTCTCCCCCGTAGTCGGAGCCTAGGGGTCCTGCATCTCTCTCTCCAACACCCCTGCGCAGCCCTAACCTGGCTCAGCAACCCGCCAGCTGCAACCAGTCCGGTGTTTGCGAGCTGGCGTCCAGGACGCCCGGCGCTGGCCCCACAGGCAGTCTGCAGGGCTCAATAAGGAAACCAGGGCCCAGGGAGCCCTTTCCGAATCCTGACTACCAGGTACAGTTTACGAAATCACTGACATGTTTCCCCCATTTTCCACGGTCATGTGAAGAAAGGGCTCAATTTTCTCACCTTGAGATGGGGGGAAAAAAATCCCCAAACAAAAAATCAAACCGTTTCTAGAACAAAAAATGTCCATGCTGTGAACGCTCCCTCGGATAAAAGGGAGAAAACCCTGTGGGAAGGCAGAATGGTGGGGACATAAATCCAAATATTGAAATCCCCAAAGGGACAACCTCCAACAGCACGTACCTTTCTTTCTTTCCTTCCTTCCTTCTTTCTTTTTCTTTCTTTCTTTCTTTTTCTTTCTTTCTTTCAAATTTCTAGGAACCTGGACATTTACTGGTGTATTTCATGCACACCGGAAAAAAAAAGAAATTCTCCCGATCCACCCCCGCCCCCAGTCTTCTGGGTCATCTACAAACAAAGCCGCCACCCCAATTTCGAGAGTCAACGGAGCATTTTATTTTCCATGGTTTGCCTCCCACGCACCCCCCCAACCCATCTCAGCTTTTGCCCTTCCCCCGCCTCCCCCAGTCCCACTCCAAGCTTCGGGCAAAATTGCTCAGGATCCCTAACCAATACCCAAGGAATCCCCCTTGCACCCACCCCCCACATTATTATCGCTTCCAAATGAAGACCAAAACCAAGAGCGCTAATTGAATTAGTCTATTGAAAGGACTGTCAGGTACAATGACGTGGCTCGAGGCCCCACATTTCCCAAGGTCTATAGGCTTTGGGGACCTGCAATGTATAGTCTGACCTTCTGGCTCATAATAATACCGCGGCACTTGTAGCAGAAATCTCCTCGCATTCACTCCCAACAAAACCGCTGGTCACCCAGTCCCCGTAGGAAGGCTGCACGCTATTGTGTTGCGACAACTCATTCATGTCCCGCGCCACCAGGCCCCACCGCCATCTGATCTACACTCGAAATGCGATTACCACCGTGTGCATGCAACACGCTCGTACTCTCGGCCCATCGTGCACACGCCTGGCCAGGCTGCAAGGGTTTCCTTCACAATTCTCCTCACACCCATCCTCAAGAGAGAGGGGGAAAGAGGCAGGACCATGACATTTGTCTCTGCCTAAACGAGATCCAAAATTCTGCAGAGATGCAGGCTGGCGGGAGATCTCCTTTTCTGGAACAGCATGCACACAAGCCCACACAAACACACTTCTTCAGGCCCAACTGGCTGGTAGGGCAGAATCGGGTGTATACTCTGAAGTGTACATACACGAGCCTCCTGCCATGCACACAAACACACAGACACACAATCAGGGTTTTTATAGACTCTCTTTGTGGTTCTCACACTCACAAGCAAATAGACAAAAACACAGGGTTTGGCCCCTACAGCCATGGGCCACTCTGCAAATTGGTAAGTGGTTTTTGCAAGAATGGGAAGAGGAGAAACAAAGGTATAATTTCTCAGCCTTCACCTTGAAAAGCACTCATCAGTCTTCCTGCTATATGACCCTTGGACTTCTCTAGCACCCCCCAAACACACAAACATACTTCCTGTCTGTTTGACCAGGTGCCTTTTGCTCCGTAGAAGTTCCTGTTAGCCACAGAGAAGGCAGAAAATGGAGGAAGTAGTCTGGGACTGGGAGAGAGGCAGTAGGGTTAGGGTCTCTCTATCCTGCTTCCCCCACCCCCCAAACCACCACCAGTGAAAGCCTTTTTGGGTCCCCTCCTTCCCTTGAGTGAGGAAATAAACCATAGGGGTTCCCCCCTTCGGCATTTAAAACAAAACATCTTTTTCCTTATTCTCCACTTGAACGTGGGCTGGGTATGGAAACGGAGCTTGGGCCGATCTATTACACAGATGTGGCTAGGTCAGTGGCCTTCTGTGGAGCCTCTTGCCCTGGGGAAACTGCACAACTCAGAACTTCAAGGCAATGGAAAGGGGCACTGGGTGCCTCCAAACTTCCATACCTTCAGCCCAGAAGCAGAGGGCGTTTGCAGAAAGGGACTCCATTCTCTTCCTTGTAGATTTCCCCACCTGCTTCCCGTCAGTCTACCTCCTGGCCATCCCCACCTGGATGGCTATCAAGTTGGAAGAAATTCCTTAATTCTCAAAGGCAGAAAAGAGTACCCCAAACGCACAGCCACACAAATGTATTCAGACGTGCACACCCATGGCTCCATCCACACGCAACCCCTTTACCCACATACTCACAACTCACCCTGCCGGTACTTCCTCACCCACACGCCCAGTCCTGAGCCCACTCCGAGTCCTCTGCACCCCCTCACACACCCATCTCGTTCAACATTTGCTCACTCTCAGCACACACACACCTCACTGCCAGGCTTGCTAGGACACCAACCCGCTAGCATAGTATGTTCATTTTCAGGACGGTGAAGAGGGCGTGGGCCTGGGTGGGGGTCGTGGAGAGCTGACGGTGCTGGGTGCGGAGCATCCGGGGCGCAGGCCTGGCCTGGGGGAGGTGGGGGGGGGACCAGGCAGCGCGCCGGAGCGCCGCCTAATCCAGCCGGAGCTCGTGGGCCGCGGGTGCATTTATCATCCCATTACTGTAACAAATCCGGGCTCCACTACATGAAAGGTAAAATGAATTACCGACGTTAAGCCGTCAATAAAGTCATTTCTGTAAATGGTGTCTCCAAAGGGCCGCCGCATTATTCAGCTGGCTTTATCAGCTGGCTGGAAATTACGTGGAAGAGCCGGGCCGCGCGGCGCGCAGGGCCGCTCACTTTGATTAAGCGTCTTGCCAGCGCGATGTGACAGAGCTTTTGACCAGGGTTTTATTCACAGGCCTGTGATGAACGCCAAGCTGATCAGGCGGAATGAAGAGTAATTAAAACCTATAAATTATCTTCCGCAGCCCTTCTCGAGGCGTCTCCTGCAGGCGAGATAAGGCGTCGAGACCCTATTTACGGCGCTGAAAGGGACGGCGGCGCACAAAAGCTACGCGGCTAAATAGGATATTGATAGTGTCCTAATTAGAATTTAATTAAGTACCCACGCTCGCTTGCGGGATAAAGATTTCAATTTTGCGAACTTAAATATAAATAAAATCCCACCCCCATTTCGGGGAGAAGAGGTGGGGGCACCGGGAGATTTCGGGGAGCCCTTGGGTGTAGAACTGAAGAGGACCCGGTAGACTCGAAGGTGGGGTTAGAGGGGCAGCTTGGGAGGGTTGAGGAGATCACGGCGGGCCTGCTTAGCGCAGCGCTCCGGAAAATGGTTCGGGCAGCCCCCAAGCCGCCGGGCAGGTCTAACCGGGATCTGTGCGAGCCCCGGGTATAGGAAGACCCTCGGCTGACCCGAAGATGCAGCCGGCAATCCGAACTCTCGCTCTCCACCAGCCCCTCGGAGAAACTTCGGCTCCTGCGCTGGTTCGGCCTTTTGCGGTTTTCGTTTTATTTTCCTCCTAACCCTCTGTGACTTTTCGGGGCACGGGGCATTATTCTGTATTGTCCTATAAGACAATATCCCCAGAGACCCTTTCTCCACTGTCCCAGTTGAGGATGGCGGTCAGGGAGAACAGGTTCTCTGGAGCTCCAAGCTAACATCCCTAAGAAGGCCTAAGCTGCCCAAGCCTTCCTAGCCACTCTCCCGCACCGCAGGCTTCAAGCCAGTCTGAGCCTGGCCCTCCAAAACAGCTAGGCAGACAAACCCTGCTGGTGTCCAGCGCCTCCCCTCCCCTCACCCCATCCTTGGCGACGGGAAAACTTTTAGGGTGCCTCGACCAGGAAACAGCGAAAAAGAGCCCAGCGGAATGGAGACGGGTCTCCGCGAGCGTGGAATTGGCATGAGCCTCCGCGCTCCCCCAAAGCTTGGGAAGAAAATGCGAGGCTAGAGCCAGAGGCCTCCAGGGAGTCGGGAGCAATTCCAGAGAGATCTGGGCAACCGGGGTAAACTCGTCCACATCGTCAGCTGGCTAGGACTAACACTTAGGGTGCAGTACTTTCATTTGTTTGATTTCACTTTGCAGGAAAATCTAACCGGAGGTTGCCCTGAACCCAAAAGCCGTGCCTCGCGCACATCGGCACTCAGACTTGCTTAGGCCGGTGGCCCGCCCAAGACAACTCCACGATGCCCGGATGGCTTCGACTCCAGCGGCCAGGGAAAGAACAGGCGCGCCTGGCGCGACCCGCGCTCGGGCTCTCTCGCGCCCTCTGGGCTTGGCTTCATGGCGCCAGGACAGCTCCCGGGGGTTGTCGAAGGTCCGGACAGGGTAGAGGACAGGAATACGGATACTCCGGAAAGGACACGCAATGCAGCTGGCCTGCATGCACTGCAAAACCTACAGACAGACGCTAGCTAGGCGCAGCTGGCTTCCGGAGTTTGCTATTTATGAAAAAATAAACTGCTTCTCTGAAAGTAACCAACGCTTAGTCTTTTTCACATCTCTGACCCTCTTTGTCTCACCCCCTCCCTACACACACACACACACTTACTGACAACATTTCACCCTTCACAGCAAGAAGAAGAGAGAAAATAAAAGCCTGAGTTTCTTAGGCATAGGGATGTAAAAGAGCCGAGGCCCCCTGCTTCCTGACCCTGTGCCCGGCGCGCACGCACCTATAATCCTGCATTTCTCCAACAAGTTGTTTATGGAGTTGCTTCTCTATTTGCCTACACCCCGAAATCCACCCCTCCCTGGTCTCCTTTGCCCCTTTCTCGGTCCCGGCTTGAAAGAGGGGGAGGGGCTCGGCGCGGGTGGGGGAGGGCGGGCCGGACGCGCGGGGCCCTAGCCGCGGCGCCCCCTCTCCGCCAGCGGCCGCCACCCCCGGATTATTTATCCGCAAAGTCCCGCGCGCGCCCATTGGGCCGAGGCCCGGGTGTCAGCGCGAGTCCTGGCTCGCCATTGGCCCCGCACACGTGCGGCCTGACTCACGTGCTTCCGGTTTGAAGGCAAAAAGTGTGCCTGGGTGATTTTTTTTTAAGCGAGAGAGTTTGTGCAAAGATCCGAGCTGTCAGAGATTTGAAAAAAAAAAAAAAAAAAAAAAGGCAGCCCCGGCGCTGGCGGAGACGCGCTCTCCCTGCAAAAAAAGCAAAGGCGATTAAAGGCGCTGCCAGCCTCGCGCTCTGGGCACAGCTGAGCGTGACACTCGGGGAAGTCAAACCCCTCACTACTGCCTAGGAAGATGGCTAGACTTTAAAGACTATTTTTTTCCCTTTAAGAAAAAAAATTTCTTGGAGCTTTTTTCTTTTTTCTTTTCTTTTCTTTTTGTTTTCTTTCTTTTTGGCCGTGGCTTACTCCCCATTTAAAACAAATCATTGAATCTGGTTGCAGAAAGAAAAAAAAGAAATAGCCAAGTGTCTCCATATCTGGATGTCTACAAATTAGAGAGAGGGCGAGACAGCGAGATCTATCTGCTCGATAAGAGCGAGCGATCCAGGCCAGACGCCTGGGCTTTTTTTCCTGCACCCGCCCCGTGCCTTCGCTGGGGCTTCGCCGGCCTCCTTCCTCCGCGCACCCCCACGGGCCGCTGGCAAAGTGGGGTGGGGAGCGAGGCGGGGGGGGCGGGGGCCGGCGCGGCGGCCGGGGCGGCGGGGCGGCCGAGCATGGAAGAACAGCAGCCGGAACCTAAAAGTCAGCGCGACTCGGGCCTCGGCGCGGCGGCGGTGGCGGCGGCCACGGGCAGCCTGAGCCTGAGCCTGAGCCCCGGCGCCAGCGGCAGCAGCGGCAGCGATGGAGACAGCGTGCCCGTGTCCCCGCAGCCCGCGCCCCCCTCGCCGCCCGCGGCGCCCTGCCTGCCGCCCCTGGCCCACCACCCCCCCCCCCCCCCCCCCCCCCCCCCCCGCCCCCGCCGCCGCCGCCGCCGCAGCATCTCGCGGCGCCTGCTCACCAGCCGCAGCCCGCGGCCCAGCTGCACCGCACCACCAACTTTTTCATCGACAACATCCTGAGGCCGGACTTCGGCTGCAAAAAGGAGCAGCCGCCGCCGCAGCTCCTGGTGGCGGCGGCGGCCGGAGGAGGCGCAGGAGGAGGCCGGGTCGAGCGTGACAGAGGCCAGACCGGCGCAGGTAGAGACCCTGTCCACCCGCTGGGCACGCGGGCGCCGGGCGCCGCCTCGCTCCTATGCGCCCCGGACGTGAACTGTGGCCCACCCGACGGCTCTCCGCCAGCCGCCGGCGGCGGCGCGGGTGCGTCTAAAGCCGGGAACCCGGCGGCGGCGGCGGCGGCCGCGGCGGCCGTGGCGGCGGCGGCGGCGGCGGCGGCGGCGGCGGCGGCCAAGCCTTCGGACAGCGGCGGCGGCAGTGGAGGCGGCGTGGGGAGCCCTAGTGCGCAGGGTGCCAAGTACCCGGAGCATGGCAACCCCGCCATCCTGCTTATGGGCTCAGCCAACGGCGGGCCCGTGGTCAAAACTGACTCGCAGCAGCCCCTCGTATGGCCCGCCTGGGTGTACTGCACGCGCTACTCGGATCGCCCGTCCTCTGGTGAGTACCCAACCCCGGGCTACGCCATGTCTTTCGGGCCCGCGGACGCCCCCAGAACTCTCAGCCACCGCTGTGCTGGGGAGAGCAGACCCGGCCTTGGGTGCTCTCTTCTCTCACGCCTGCTTCCTCCTCACCCCCGTCCCAGTCACAGCCGGGTGTGCCCCCAGTTCTGCGCTCCTGGCCTCTGTGGCCACCGCTCGAGAGGCTACAGCTCCTGGCTTGGGAAGCTCAAGTCTCGATCCTTCCTTCGGTGTTGAACTCCGAGCCCCTCGGGCCTTCTTTGTGTTTTACCTTTATTATTCTTAGAAAAAACACAATCAGCCATTGATTTTTCTTCCAGGGAGAGGGGTGTTTAGAGCGGGCGGGGAGGTGGGCCTAGTGGTCTGGGTCTGAAATCCCTCCAGCCAGGTCCTGCGGAGGCCGAAATGGAGCCAGGCTCTGATCAGAGAAATAATCGTCACCTTGTGTTCTTACAAACAGAAACACCATCTCGACATTTTCTGAGGCGAGTTCATTTACAGAGAGATAGATTGGAGGACACACAGAAAGAGAGAAAAGCCTTTGATAGCTGTGCCTCTTCCCCAGGCCGGGTAAGCTAGGCAGCCTGACCCGGGTGGGTAGAATCCAGGGAAAGATGGTTGCCAAAACGGTCGGTGCCGGTGGAGCCCTGGCTCCTGGTTCTCTAGAGCTCACAGACAGTGGGAGTGGAGAGGAGACCGGTCAGGCACGGGCCAGATCGCGGGGGCACGGGGCATTGGCAGCCTCCTCCGCAGCTTCTCCGTGGCGCGGCGCTCACATCCTCCAGCCCTGCCCCTTCCTTCTTTCACTCCTTTCTTCCCTGTATCTGCCAGTTAGCAGATTTCTGCCAGCTGTAGGTTGTTTTTCTCGACTTCCTTCGGCCCTTTTCTCGCGTGTTCCTCGCGCTTGGAAACCCCGAGGCCAAGAGACCTGCGCTGGGACAGTCCTAGGCCCCAGGAGAGGAGGCTGGGGCCTGCCCGCCTCCCCGGGCGGCAGCGCCAGAGAGGCCCGTGGGCGCGGCGAGGAGGACGGCAGGGGTTCTGGCCTACAATTGGTATTCTGGGCACCCGAGTCCGGTAGGAGGCCGGGCACAGCGTAGCCATGCGCCGCTCGACTCCGGCTGGTGTCTAGCCTCCCCACGGTTGCCGGCCGGGCGCTGATCGATGCGCGCTATCAGCCCCCGCCATCTCGAGCCCCGTTATTGACACGTCGGGCTCCCTGAACCTCCGAAAAGCTGCTTTGATTGACTCGCCTGATGGATAGAGTGATTGAGCTGTCAGGCTGGGCGGCTCAGGCTGGCCAGGAGGCTACGATTTTATTACAAGTGTCCGTGCCTCTGCACACACATACACAACAACACTCTCAACATCCCGGACGCACAACGCACAGCGGGGCCTTTCCGGAGATGTGCACATTTCCTGGGCCATCTCTTCCCGCTCAGCTAATTCCTAATCTAAACCAAGGCCGTCCTTCCTCTCCACCCCACCTCTCAGTCCTCTCCGCACGGCGCTTAGGAGTGGGCCTTGCCTTTGTTCTTGGCCACTTTCCCTCTTCTGTGCCTGGGGAGGTAGAGGACGGGCTCCTCCTGCATGGGCAGTTCAGGGAGACGAACCTCAGCCCAGATCTGAGTCGCTGCAGCCAGCCAGGCCTGGAGTCTTTGGTCATAGGACAGCTGGTGACCCCAGGCGCTGGCCTGCCCACGGAGCCAAGCAGCCCAGCTTGCCCCTCTATTGCTAGGTTTGGAGATGCTGGTGAAGGCCCTTTTTTCCAGACAGTTTCTGATATTAAAAGGCCGGACAGGGACTTAACTTGGCTCAGGAAGCTCCTACAACCACGACAGGGCCCACCAAGTAAATGCCGGAAGACTTGGGTCTGAGGCTGAGGAACAGAGGGGCAGGCTTTAAAGGCTGCCTCCTCTTCCCCCCCTCCTCTCTCCAGGGCTGGGCTCCACAGCAGCTCTCTTCCCACACTAGGTTTTGGGAGAATCTTCACCTTCTTGGCGTGGTTTGCTGGGGCGTCTTCCCATATCCGTCTTAGGGGCGAAGCACAGATTTCTGTCCTCATTGTCCCTCTGTCTCTTTCCCTCTGCCCGTATTTTGCTCACGAATGGGGGGAGAACCGATGGAGTCTCCTTGCAAATGTCATCGAAGGGCAGGGGAAGCAGATCTGGCCTGTTTTTGTTATACAGGACTTTTCAATCCTGAAACTGCAGCTTATGTGTTCGAAAGAGAGAAGGGAGACCTTGCCTGTACAGCTAGGTGGAGAAATGGGGAGGGTCCTCTGTTTCTTACTGGCACCATCCAAGGGGCAAAGCAGAGAACCCTGGGGGCCAGGGTCATGTGGGTAAGGTATGCCACTGGGTGAAAGCCTTGTTCCGCCTTCAGAGAAGGGGGTGGTCAGTGTCTCCCTGGGACCCTAAAAACGGCTTCCTTTAGGCCAAAGAGAAAGGAGGAGCCCAGAGAACATACACCAAAGACTTCGGATCTAGGCAAGCCCCTCACAGCCCCCTCCCTATCCCCCTGTTTTCTGGGGTCAATAGCTACAAGCAGACCCGGTCCTATCACTTAAGCGCTGGGCGTTGGTGCGCTTCTTGAGGAGGAAGGGAGGATTAGTTTGCAGGCTGGCCATTCCCTCAGGGCAGTCCCGCCCGGTGTCTTCACTGGCCCAGGCTTGAGCCTCTTTTTTATTCCAGGGCTGTGAAGACAGCAGGCCCCTGACCTCCAACTCTGGGATCCACCGGATGGGGCTCCAAATGTCTCTCCCATCTTGGATTATGGGACTTAAGCGTGGCACGCTGCTCTCTGGTTCCGCGGATTGGGCTGTGGGATGCACGGACAAGCTCGGCCGGTTTTCCTCCGTGGCCCTTCTGGCCCCCCAGAAGGGAAGCTGGCGACCCCAGCAGCCAGGCGATTGATCTCGGGGCTAGCCAGCGGGAGGGAGCCAGGGGCGCGGCAGGGCCTCGGCTATCGCCCCGGAAGCGCGGGGCGCGATCCCCGCTCGGCTCTGCAATTCTCACGGCTTGCTCTGCCCTCTCCCCCCTCCCCTCTGCCCTCCGTCCCCACCCCCACCCGGCCCTCTCCGCCGCTGCAGGTCCGCGCACCAGGAAGCTGAAGAAGAAGAAGAGCGAGAAGGAGGACAAGCGGCCGCGGACGGCGTTCACGGCCGAGCAGCTGCAGAGACTCAAGGCGGAGTTCCAGGCGAACCGCTACATCACGGAGCAGCGGCGGCAGACCCTGGCCCAGGAGCTCAGCCTCAACGAGTCCCAGATCAAGATCTGGTTCCAGAACAAGCGCGCCAAGATCAAGAAAGCCACGGGCATCAAGAACGGCCTGGCGCTGCACCTCATGGCGCAGGGACTGTACAACCACTCCACCACCACGGTCCAGGACAAAGACGAGAGCGAGTAGCCGCCCGCCGGCTGGGGCCGCGCGGTCCGGCCGCCGCGCCCGCGCCCCCTCCTGGCATCGCCGCTGCCGCCGCCGCCGCCACCGCCGTCCGGCCGGCCCCACGCCGGGGGAGAAAGAATCCGCGCACGGGAGGGAGGGAGCAACAGGGAAGAGAGAGAGAGAGAGAGAGATTCTCAGAATGGAGAGTCACGTTTGAACGAAACATTTTTTAAAAGGAGAAAGACTCGGACAGGTGCTATCGAAAAATAAGATCTATTCTCTATTCACAGTATAAGGGGCGAAACTGCGAACTCCTTAAAGCTCTATCTAGCCAAACCGCTTACGACCTTGTATATATTTAATTTCAGGTAAGGAAAAGAAATATGTGTAGCGATCTCTATTTGCTGGACTTTTTATTAATCTCCTTTATTATTATTGTTATAATTATTATAATTATTATAATTATTTTATCCCCCACCTCCGCGTCGCTGCCCCCGGCCCAGTTTCGTTTTCGTTGCCTTTTTTCTTTTGAATGTTGTTGCTTCTCCGGTGCCTCCCGCCCCGCATCGCTGGCCCTCGTTTCTCTGGGACTTTTCTTTGTGTGCGTGAGAGTGTGTTTCCTTGCGTGTCTGCCCTTCGCCTCTTCCCCGCCTCCCCAGCCCCTTCTGTCGGTCTGTCTGTCCTGCTCCCCTTTCGTTTTCCGGAGACTTGTTGAGAAATACGACCCCACAGACTGCGAGACTGAACCGCCGCTACAAGCCAAAGATTTTATTATGTTCAGAAACCTGTAGTCTGAAATAAAGTGTACACTGTGCTCACGAGCCGTTGGCGGCCTTCCTCCTTGCGGGCTTGGGAAGGGCGTGGGCGCAGGGCACGCGAGGGCCCCGCGCGCATCGCGCACACACCGGGCGGCGAGCCCCGGGCGGCCCGGCCTGGCCTTGCGATCACCGCACAACGAATACCGGGGGCAAGACGAGCGCGCGGCGGTAGAGGCGGCCCAGCGCCGGGTAGGCCCCGGTCTGGAGGGTCCGGAGGCCCACTCCTGCTCTCTGATGGCGTCCAAAGGAGCCCAAAGACAAGACAAAACAAAAAAAACAACAAACCCCAGTCCTGACTTCGGAAACACTGCTGGGACGTCCGGCTGCTCCCTGTGCCGGCCCAGGCCCAGCTTGGCTTTGCCCTCCGCCTGTTCACCCTGCCCCGCTCCTTGCTTCGGCCTGCACCTTTCCCTTTTCTGTCCTTCTTCCCCTCACAACCCCGTGTGGGTTTCGCTTGAGGTTTTCCCTTCCAGAAGCGCAAGGCCTTCCCCAGGCCGGCAGAGGTGAGGGGCTTCCTCCAGGGCTGAGCTGCCCACGAGGGCGAGGGGGCTCTTCGGCGGGCCTCTGGGCCTGGTCTCTCGGCCGCCGGGACTTCACCGCTCTTAGTTCGGAGAAGTGATTCGGTTCCCGAAGCGTCAGGTCGAGGGCGGCACTTGGAGCCTCTCCTGGCCCGGATTTCGTGGTCCCGAATAGCCCAGGGAGAAGAGGCCTGGGCGCTGGGAAGCGATGCTGCTGGGATCATTTTTGGGCCGGAATTCCCACGCGGGCCCAGACCTGCCTCGCGCAGACCCAAAACCTAAGCGGGGTCACTCCGAATGCCAACAAAGGCTTGCTTCCTGATTGAGGGGGGAGGGGGCACAGACCCAAGCCTTCTGAACCCTCAGGGCAGGTGGACTTCCCAGAGGGAAATGTCTGCACTCTTGCCCCTGACCCTGGGGCCTTCCCTCCCTGGGCAGGCACTGGGCCCCCTACCTTCAGGGACTAGGAGGAGGAAAGGGAGGTCCCTTTTGTCCAGGATTTGTTTTTTAATGGTAAATCCTCCTTCCTTCCTGTCTTCTGAAATATGTGTATGTACCTGTCCGTGTGTGGCTAGATATGTAGGTGTCCTTGCAGACTTGTGTGCATATGTGATCACGTGCAAATGTAGGTGCATCTGAGGAGCTACCTGGTTTTGTGTGTCCCTGCATGTTTGAGTATTGTGCTCACTGGGTGTTCATTTCTCTGTAATTAGATGCACACTTGGATGTTTGTGAGCTTGCGGTGTGTGTACATGTGTTCATTAGTGTTTGCACACCAGAATGCCTGCAGGTGTGTTTGCGGGGCTGGTGCATGCATGGGAACTCTGTTTCTGTGTTCTTCCCTTGAGTTTCTTTTCTGTTGTTTTTGCAGGATTGATTTTGTGAGAAGTGAGAATGGTCATTCTGCCTTTTTCCTTGAGAAACTTCCCGCTCATTTGGGCCTATATCCCGGGAAGTTACAGGGCTAGTAGGCTCCAAGTCCCTGCTCAAGGGTTCGGGAGCCTGAGGTTAAATGGCCTGGAGTTGGAGAGCATATTTGATATTGCCATGGGTTCCCAACTTTATTGCAATAAGTCTTTTCCTCCCCTTCACGCCTTCTTGGGGTGTGTAGACTAACCTCTGCACATAATGGGTGCTTACCCACCCCTTGAGTGAAGAGTTGGAAGCAGAGGCCAGGGGTGGCCCTTCCCTAGGATGGCCCCCGTGAATGGTTTTCTGGTGGTTGGACGTACATCCTTTGCCTTTCTTGGTGGGGAAGGGGGCCCGGGATCTTCAGGCTCTCCAGGGGCTTCAGATTAGAGGGTCCGAGACTTGGAGCCCAGGGTCCTCTTGCCCTCATCCACATAGCTCAGAACATCAGGAAGGGTCCTGGCCACCTCCAGATGTGGTGTTGGGGGCACTCTGCTCTACAGAGAACCTGATCCTTTGAGTGCCTGGAAATGGGGCTACCCTTTCTTGGCCCTTCTTCACGGTGGCCCTTCGGTTACCTAAGCCCTTCGGGAGACCACTAGATCTAGAGGCTGGGCCAGGGGCCAAGGCGAAGAGCCATCCTGTTCCTTAAGGCTCCTCTTCACCACTCTCAGGAGGTCAAAGCCAAGAGCTCTTCCCCTCAACCCTGGGGGAGAAGGAGGAGGTGATGACCCCTCCCTAAGATTGCATTAGTAAAGCTTATGGATCTGTTGTTATTATGTAATTTGATTTCTTCCCCATATCTCCTTTTATCTTCCAACCCCTATGGGCGACGAGAATTTTCTTCTTTGTTCAGTGGAGAAAACTCAAGCTCAAACGACTTACATATTTGGTCCATGCCTCCTCTGTGGCTGTGTGTCTTTTTCTGTGTCATCTCTACTCTTAACAACTGCCTCAACCTCAGGAATCCGGCCCTGGCCCTGACTTTCCTACCTTCCTGCCTTCCTCATCCCCATTTCCCCTTCTTCCTGATTGGGGCTGAGGAAGGAGGAAGAGGACTCTGGTCAGAACTCTTTCTTGTTCCCCCTCGAAAAAAAGAAAGTAATAATAATCATAAACAAGCATTGATTTCTCTGATTTATGGGGCTGGCTTAGGGAGTCGCCTGTGTATTAAAAAGTCTGAGGTTGCATCGAAATAAATAGTGGAGTGTGCTATCCCAACTTCCTCATTTTCTACCTTTAAAAAAAAAAAAAGATCAGATTGAACCATTAACTTAAATCTTCCTCAGCCCAGAAGGAAATACACACTAGCCGAGTCTAAACAGTATTGATCCCTGGCTCTTTCTGAGGGCAAAGGTCTCTGTTTTCTTGCTCAAAAGTCTTGTTCCTTTAGTAGGGTCAGGGGGAGGCTGCAGATGGAGGAGGGAATATTGGGATGTTTGGGGCTGCCGGGATGTGTGTGCAAGCTTCTATGTTTGTGGGTTGTATGGTGAGGGGCCTTTGTATAGGGGTGGCATTAAGTATATTTGTTCAGGCTTGGGAGGTGGAAGTGTGTGTTTGGGGTGTATGGCTGCCAATAGTTTGATGTTTGTGAGTGTGTGCATGTATGGCCAATTCTCAGGGCCCCTAGGCTGGGTTGCCCAGGGCACAGAGAGGGAGTGGCCTGCCCCTTACCTGGCTCCCACAGCCGCATGACCTATGCAGGATTTCCAGAGATGATCTCACCAGGGAGGTCGCTGTGTCCCGGTCTCCCCCTACCCCAACTCCCCCATCCAATGCCCTCAGTAAAAGACCTACTTGCAGGGGCAGGGCTGAGCCTTGGCTGACTCCCTAGAGGCCAGACGCCATGGCCAGGGGTGGAGAGGCTCTGGCCAGACTCCTTACCCTGGAGGAAGGTGGTTCTCTAGAGGGGTCATCAGCTCCTCCAGGGGTTAGCCTAGATTTTCCTTTTTGTGTTGGAGAAAACCCTATTCCTCTGGCAATAGAAGCTGCCTTCCACTACGCTCAGACATGGGCAGGGGGCGGGGAGGGGCAGGGAGGCCAGGCAGCAGCCCTCCCTCAGCCTTGCCTCACCTCAGGGTGGGTTCCAAATGAAGTATTCCCTCTGGGGGAGGTGGCAGAGTATTGCTCCATCCCTCTGAACCCCTCCCCTCCCAGACTGCTCTTCTCCCAGTTTGAACTCAGGTGAGAGGGCTACTCTCCTGTGGCAACTTGTGGAAAGGGGACTCTGCCAACCCCCACTCCTCCCCCAAATGCTTTAGGCCAGTCTTTTAATGAAGTCCCATTGTTGGGAGGGGGTCCTCAGGGATTCTGGAATAAAAAGGTTTCATTTCACAGGCAGGGGTGGGGGGGGGTTGGGGAAGCGTGGGGAGGGTGGGGGAAGTCCTGAGAGAGTAAGTACCTCACTCAAAAGCACACAGCAAGCGAGAGGCAACCCCCACCCCCAGCTTTCCTAGGAGTCCAGTGTCCTTGCCATTGTACCACTGAGTGGGTAGAGTTACTGCACAGCAGGCCACTCAGCACACGTGCGCGTGCTTCTGCACATCAAAGAGCACAAGCATGCATTCATCCATGTGTACACATGCACACACGTGTAGAAAATGTGCACATATACAAAGAAATGTACATGGGCTGATGTGTGGAGGTGTGTTCCCAGGGAGCACAGGGACATTGCCTGTGTAGAAGTTTCTGGCACACATTTATGCACAATCCGGGAATACACATACTGGTATCCAACACATACCTGCCTGCCCCTTCCATGGAGGCCACCAGTGAG